ATATGAGTTGACCCATTATATTCAAATATCACATTGAGCATATTAATGAAAAAACATTGTATATAAGTAATCTGATTCAAGAAACAAAAATGTAGTTGTAAATTGATTAACATTTTGCATACTAATTTTTCAAGTTTGATTTATGATTAATACACAAAACTCTGTATATATTTATATTATTCAACTATATCTCTAAACATACATTGACAACTTGAATACAAGTACTTTGTAATTTTATACTGTCAATAGTTCTTTTTTTTGTTTTGTTTTCTCTTTCTGTTATCCATGTGCTAGTAATATTAGATTATGTTTATAAATATTTGATGATGTAACTTGTTAAATACCATGTCATCAATAAGATATTAACCAATTACACATAAATAAAACCATCATTATTAGAATAGGGGTATTTGTAAAGATTGTAATAATTTTTAATAGTTGAATTTATGAGTTGATTTAAGCTAGACTACCATTGAAAACTTGAAAATGAGATCGTTGATGCGCACTTCTAAGGAGTCCCATACTAAAATGAAACAGCCTACAAGTGCTTCCAGGTTTTCAATGAATTCAACTATTAAAAACTATCATTACCAATTTTCTCTTTCTTCAATTCTGTTTTAACTCTCTCTCTCTCTCTTCTCTGAAACAGTAGTTGTTAAGTTTAATTTTTTTCTCTCTTACTGTTATTGATTTAATTTTTTTTTCTTTTTTCATTTTCGAGTAAATTATCTTTTCATTTACATTTAGCTTTACACCCTATCGTTTATCGATTTCTAAGGATAACTTATTTACACTTATGATGGATATTCCGATATAGAATAAGCAAGAGAATGATTCTTTACTAAATTAAGTGATGATGTAATTGAAAAAAGAATCTATTTTTTTTTCTCATGTTAACTAGAGATACCCTACTGTTTTGTGGTACTTCTATTAATATTTTTGAAACATTGACTCATACAATTTGTCATAAAATTTTTTAAAAAAAATGATCGTTTAGAATGATAAAGAGAAAACAGGGCATGATAGTTCTCATCTTGGATCATAAACAAAAATTTATTTGGGAGTTTATCTGGAATAGAGATGTATTCTAAGTAGTGATAACAATCTAAGTACACATAAATTCTCTAAAGCTGTACAGTTCTAGATATAAAATTCTTCATTCCTTTGATAGATAGTTCATTATCCAGCTAGTTAGTAATCCTAAAGTGAATCGTAGGTTATGTATTCGGTATAGTAAACATTGTTTGTTAAATATGTTGTGTATACTAAACTATTCCCTACATCACAGAAAGAAAACTTGAGTTTATCAAACTCCAGCATGTTATCAGTTTATAAAATCGTATAGGGATGTGTAGATGTTTGAGTTGGTGTATTATCTGAAAATCAGTATCACCGACACAGATCTATTCTCTCTCATCGCATAAATTTGAAGTTCAGTATAATGGCAAATATTGTGTTCTTCTATTGCTATTAAGTCTTAACCGTATCTTGCATGTTTAAGGATTTAGTGATCAATGTATTTTACTAATTACGTTTCTCATTAGTATAGGGGTTTATGGATATTGTTGGATGTTATTGACATTACGAACCGTTCCGAGTTAAATATTCATTGAAAATCAGGAAACAGTGAAGAACTGCTTGACCTTAGTACAAAATGCTCATCGGTGCACATCCGAAACCCAAGAGGAGATCGAATCCAAGACGTTTGTTGTCATGTCAGGCGCTTGACCTCTAAGCCACTGAGCCAACATCTAACGATATAGTAACTTCGAGAAGGTAATTCTAGTGATAAGTAGTGACCGGCGGAGTTCAAAGTTGTCGAATGCGAAGCTAATTACCCATTAAAAATGGGAAATCGTTGGTCAATATTGCTAACTCTTTGAAGTTAGACATGTGCACGATTAAATGCTGGCTCAGTGATTCGCAACTTAAGCGTTCATGTACGAGACCGAAGGCCTTAGGTTCGATCGATAGAGGCGGGGTCATGGATGTGTATTGCTGGAGTTGTTCAGTGCTTCCTGGCTTTCAGTAGATGTTTAACGTCGGTTCGCTCATGGGCATAAATTACGTTTCTATAAATTTCATTTAAGTTTCCATTCCATACTTAACATTGGGCAACATACTTCCTGATAATAGACCTGTTGGGGACGTTAGATCCCCAGAACTCACTCGGAAAAGGACCTAATTTTGTAATTTTATTTTGAAAATTTGAATTTCTTTGTTTTCGCGCTGAAGGCGCTCTTTTCATCTTCATGTCGTATTTCCCACTTGGTAGAATCTTAAATGCCATTGGTCCGTCGTGTCTTTTAGTATGTTATTTTGTAACTCTTCCCAAGGACGGTTTTGTGCTGTATATATACGTTTTTGATTTATGTCTGTTGTTATTGCTCGTGCTTCTGGCTGTTTGCGGAATATACTTCTCCGTTTCAAGCTTGAACTTCTTTCTCTAGTTAGCGGGGCTGGGACGAATCGAATAGCTATCTTATTGGTTTTTGGTCACCGAGTCTTTGTTCCGTTCGCAGACTAAGTGAACTCGAAATCGCTTCAAACCTAGCAAGACCACAACGAAATCACTGTACCTTTATTTAATTTGAAATAGAAATCGATTAGAGTATCCATATTTTCATTTTATTTTCAAACAAAATAAAATAATAAATCGTTTCTATCCTAAAGTACATGTAGCGTAAAAAAATTAATTACAATTACACTTGTTTATTTCTTATGGTAATTCTCTGTTCCTTTTTTTATTTCCAACTATCATACTATTAAATATCAATTTTATAATAACTCATTTTATTACCATGCAATATTCATTGAAATTTATACATTGAATATCAATAATTGTTTTCAATAATATTTAATGTATTCATGAAGTTGTTGACATTCTTTCTTACTCATGAGTAGTTTTCTGTTTAAGTTGTTTCATCTTATACTACTCTCTTCATTTATAATTTATACTATGTGTAGATGTATATTTGTCTGCGTATATATATATATATATATATATATATATATATATATATATATATATATATGTACTGTATGTATGCCGGGTTTTTAATTTTAACTCAATTACAATTTATTAGTCTGAACTTTGAATAAAGCAATGAATTATAAAAGAGTATTCATTATCAGGTGATTGCATATGTATGCCTGTGTATTTAATGGCACTATCAGTAATCAATAAATCAAACATAAGAAATTGTAAGTAAAAATGGATGGTGGCTATTACTGAAATCTAGGACGCGCATCTTTCCCTAATTAGGATTTGTCAGCCGTATGTATCCGCATTCCAGAGTTGATGTTCAACCCGGGACTTGAACCTAGTACCGTCCGTTTCAAATATCATCGCGTTACTGAGTCCTGATGAGCCCCAAACAGGACGAAACACGAGTCCCGGATTCCACTGCTAGCCACCATCCATTTTTGCTTATAATGCTTGTGACTTCAGTCAATATGAAGACAATCCATACAGGATACACAAGTGGCAATAAAAAGGCTGATCAATTGTAGTCCTAAATATAGATGGTAAGATTCAAACAAACAATATAAAATGAATAAGAAATTGTGCCTAATTATCCTTATAAATATAAATCTAGTCTATATGTGATGAAATCTTGGTAGGGATTTAAAAACACGATATAACTTTTGCCTATATGCGTCACCAGAACCACAGGCAAGATTCCTTTCTTACCAGTGAATTAAAGAAGTATACTAGCCAGCATTTTTTCTGTATTGATCTTTGACTATGAAACATGAACTTTGAATTCAGGACATATGCATAATCTCCAAGTCTTTGGTTATACGTGACTTCTAAGGATTTTTCGCGCATCGTTTGGTCACCAAGTTAGTATTCCTGAGACTAGACACATAGTAGAGGGTAGAGATAGTAGGTTAAGTGACAATCCGCAAACTACGTTGCTAGGTTCCATATGCTGACGACAATCGGATCTTAGATACGTTGGGTTAAACAGCTCAGAGTCATCTCCGTTGGGTCAGATAATCTCAGTTTTTGCGTTCCACTAACTTTCGAGATACTGTTATTTCGTAATTCGTAATTCTCGAATTAACCCTTTCTTCTCGAGCCATATCCTTGATTGATGTCATTTTGACTAATTTACTATGATATATGTATATATATACCTATCAAGTAGGTGAATATTCTTCAAGTCGCTATAACATCGCCCAAAGGTCGTCTATAAATGATAGTCTCACTCATTACACTTTATTCTTACACTTGGAGGCTAAGTGAATTACACTAATACAAGTAGCTTATTAGTCACGTGTTGGCTCGACTCATGTATGGTTCAGGATCGATATCAGTCTGCCTGTGTGTGTGGCGTAAATGCTTCATAGCAATATACGGTGTATTTACGGATGATTTATTTGGAATATGAAGATGAATTTGAAAGATATGTTTCATTCATTAACTTTCAATTACATATGTTGTCGAAATAAGTTAAACAAAGAACAATAATGCTAAAACCCAAAATATATCATTAGCCGATCAACTCTATCGACTGTGAAGTCCTGCCCGTACTAAAATACACAATCTTCCTTGATTGGATCCTGTATGATAATTATAATAAGTGAGTGAAGATCTAAAATAATGGAAATTGTAATCCGTCACTTTGTTGAAGATGAATTCATTCCTGCTTTTCTTATAACTCTGTAGTTCGAATATTATTTTATAATTCTCATATTGCTTAATTTTTATTTTTTCTTGGCATCTTTTTTTACTGTAATCACTATTAAGGTTTTCCCGACTGCATAGCTTATATTCTTCCATAATAAATTCCTCTCAATATACGTACATAAGATGCTGTAATTCAGTCATATCAGTGAACATGTATACTGGGTCCTACTTCTATAATAACTAGTTAAACGACTGACTGACTAAGTTTTAGCGAGAGCTTCTATGAGGTGTTGAAATTTTTTATTTTTTAATATGATCCTCATTGTCTTTTTTTCTCATTTGCCCAATCCCATTAATTCACCAGAAATCAAACGTCAGCATATTGGATTGCTTAAATTTATTCACATCTAAAGAAGAACTAGATGGCAATGAAAGACCCGTAAGTTTCATATTATTATTAACATTTATTTATTATTGTAGAAACATTATTGTTAGTTGTTATCATTATTGGTGGTAGTACTAGTAGTTGTGGTAATGTAGAGAACGAGGACTTGGTGGGGAAAACCAATTTATTGCTTAGTGCAAAATTACAGTGTCTTGGTAAAGTGTGGAAACTATACATTAAATTCTTCATTTGCACATCCTTCCATCATTTGTCATTCATATGCTTCATGCTTTCAATTCCGTTGTTATTACAATTACTTTCTGTATCCCTTTCTGTTTTCTTCAGTTCAACCATCTTTTGACAGGTATTCCACTTCTGATTGATGTACATACTACCTATATCTGTCGACATAAGTAGTATACACCACAGTAGTAATAATAGTTTTACTCTCAGGTTACTGACTTATGAAAGCCTGTACGATATTATTTTTACTAATAATAACATTCTATTAAAAATACAACGGTCAATTCAACTAGCACTTTTTGATTGCCCAAACGGAAGTAAAGAAAACCTGTAACTGGTTAGTTCATAGTAAGATGTGTTTAATTGTTTGACCTGGATTCCTACTTTGTTGTGAAAGTATATAGCATGTTCATAATTTGTATAATTAAAAGCAACGAGTTGAGCTGTACTATTATTTTTTATCTTTTTTGGTTATTTTATTTAACATTTTCGATTATAGATTATGGTTATTGTCTAGTTCTCAACTAAGAAATATGAACCAATTAACGGACTTTATAAAAACAGTCAGTGTTTTAGCGGGTTTATTCTGTGTTCTGGTCCATCAGTTCCTAGTTATTGTTCCTATCGTTTTGTGGATTATACATCAAGATAAGCGTTGATTAAGTATCCATAACACATGTATTCCAGCCACCTTAGTCATTGAAGATTCATAGCTTCACCAATCAATTTGTCATTTTTATTAAGTACGTTGGATCTTACTTCACGATTACTCACTTGTTAGTTCCACAATAAACAGGCAATGTTTTTATTTCAAAGATCTGACCAATAAATTCATGCACACAATAATCTTTTGCTCATTTTATAAGGAATTAAATTTGAGTAATCAGAATGCAGCTTTCTTGATCATTTTCATTACAGTTCAAAATCGTTTTCAATAGCGTATTTACATTCACTCTTTTTTCCTTAGATCTCAAGTTTTTCAATGCTTTATGGATTTCCTTTATTTAATCAATTTATATTTTCTCGAATCTTATCGTCATTACCTAATCTTTCCTATTTCCACTTATATTACTACTACTGTGGTTTGTGCTACTGATATCGACAGATATAAGTAGTATGTACATCAATCCAAAGTGAAATGCTTGGAGGAAGAAGGTTGGGAGAATCGAATAGAAGAGAACGGGAACAAAGAGTGATTGGTATGGAAACGAAGGAACATTAAAGTCTGAAACAATTGATGGATATTTTGCAAATGAAGTATTTACTGTATAGTTCTCAGATTTTAGCAAGATATTCTGTAATGTTGTATTCAAACACATCTGATGCGTTTGGTTAGAACAACAATGAAAACTTCTACAATGAACCACTCAGCTCATAGAATACATATGTTATACTTTTATTCGTAAACTTTGATTTGTACAGGAAGTTTTCCGCTTTTTAATGATGTTCTAGCTTAGATCGACTACAATCTCAACAAATCCTCATACTCATAAAATTAATTCGCATATATATCTATCTAGTTATGGAAATAAAAATATATATAAGTAATATGATAATGTATTGAACATGTGACTTTATTATTTTCACTTCATGTCAAAATGTTTTATTTTCCAGTATGGACATATTCCAACATTACGCATTAGCTTTAATGACGCCATTCATTTTACAATAGAAAAAGACCACGTTCTATCGTTTTAGTCATAAAATATTGATAAATATCTATTTAGTATATTTTATGAGTTTTAGTACAGTGAAGAATATGATTTCACTGGGATTATAAGACTAAATAGTGTATATGATGGAAAAGCTGAAAATTACATTGTGGATACCACATCAGTTGAATATATGTATCGGAATTAGAAATGATCCTCACAAAACCTTGAGTTTTGGTTTGTAACTGGTTATCACTCATAAAAATGTTTGTCCAGTTATGAATGGAAATTTTTTACTGTGCATTGGATTCGAATTCGTTCTATAATGACAGATGTTATTACTACCGAGATATTTGAACCAGCTTAATTCTCAAATTCAGTAAGGCTACTGTTCGGTTTATAGAAATATGTGTATTTTGTTATCACGACAAAGAAGTTAGATTTCCCATTGGTTCGTATGAGTTGTTTGAATTTCCTCTTTGTTGATGTTGAGGACTGAAATTGATCAATCTTCTATGGCATATGCTCATCCAGTATTACCACATAGTCATAAACATTTTAAGCTGTCTGATAATGACTAGTAGTAGGAATTAGGGGGTTCGTTCTTTCCTATTCGAAACTCGTCAATTGCATATGATTACACCTCAATGTTGGTGTTTACCATTATTGTGCAAGCTGGTAGATATATGAACTCAATAGCTAAATAGATAACGTGTCTGAAGTTGTAAACGAAAGGTTACAGGGTTCGATTCCCACTGTAAGTGTCAACACAGCTCCAGATAAAACCAGCCGTCAGGTTCCGAAATGGGATGAAACTCACATGGATTCTATTGTTAGCCACTTAAAAAGCAGTTGAATATTTTTACAATAATATTTTATTTTACCTCAATTCTATAAATAGACGATAAAAATCAATTGCATTTTTCTGTTTTTTTTTCTTTTTTTTTATTATTTATTCTTGAATGAACAGATTTGTAGTCGATGTAAAACTCGAAGAAGATGTACCAAAAGTTTTTCCATTCAGAAATTCCCACAAATTCTCGTACTTCGTATCCTTTTTATTGTTTTACTGAATTTAGTTATTTTATTAAAAAGGAAAAGTTATTAGTTATTTATATTTTTGAAGAATCTGTAATATATTAACATATTTTTTGACTATGTGATTCATTACTGTCCTACAGGATGGATATAATAGTTATTTTGCCATATTTAAATATTTATTTATAGAATGAAGTACATTTACTAAGTATAGTATTTGTTTCCATGTCTTTCTAATTTCATTATGGCTAACTATTCATTACGAAGAGTAATCAATATACATAATGCTAGTCTAAAATCATATTTTGTCCTCTATGTTCCAATATTATTGTTCTGGTCATGAAACTTAAATAATAATCAACGTCGTATTTGTTTGGTCCCAAGTGTTCATTGAATCCTATCAATCAATTTTCAATATAATCACTAGTCCAAATGACTGGACACCGCATGAACAATGTTTTTATGTAACATCATTGAAGGTATCTGACAGCAAGCTATGAATTCATGTCTCTTGCTAGTTAGTTATTTTCGTCATGGGTGTGATTAAGAAGGAGGTCAGTGACACTCTGAATAATTTAATGTTAACATTACGATGCACTTTCGAGTCCAACAGAGCATGAATTTCCATTAAACTTTAAGTAAACCTTAATGACAACTGTCAGTCTGTACGAAAACTATGTTCAGCATTTCCTGCCAATTATCTTCAATCGAGGTACATCGAAACCTTGTGCCCTGCTGTCGAAAGACGAAACTCCACTATTGATACTCTTTATTCTTTTGAAAATACTTAATGTTTGAAAAGAGAGTATTAGAAATGTCATAAAAATGCCTTTATTTACATGTATAGAGGCTTACAGAATTTCTCATACTTATCAAATATCAGAACATTAGGGCACACAATGCAGATCCACTTATACTAGTAGCTACATTTATATTTGATCCGTGGAATTCAACTTATAATATTTACTGCAAAGCATCATATTAAATATTACTCAATAATCGAACCGGGTAGGTAATAGTGAGGTTAGATGCAATGTATTAAGGAATGATGTTAAATCAGTTGATGAGGTTGTAATAATTCATCAGCTGAGATGTCTGCGTCACGTGTTACCTATGCCTGAACACCGATTACCACGACACGCAATACTGACTAGTGTTAGGGATAGTTGGAAGAAAGTTAGTGGCGATCAAACCAAAACGTGGCATTAATGCTTGGAATCACTAATTTCTGATCTACTACTTGGTTGGAGTCCGCGTAACTATCGTAACCGATGGTTGGAGACTGTGTGTGTGAGATGTCTCAGAATCGATCACAATGGCGTAGGTGTATATACTCTTTGTCTTCCCCTAAGCCGTGAGATTAAATTCGCTTCATATCTTGTTTATTGAATAGAAAAATCTATAAGTTGATTTTTACAATCTCATTTATTTATTTATTTTTCTATTTTTTTTTGGTACACATCCAAACACCTTTAGGTTTCTTATACCTTTTATACACTGAACCTTATATAGAAAGTGAAAAATTATTATTATTATTATCATAACAGTTTGAATAAGTATTATTATACATAATTAACAAATGAATATACTGAATTTCTACTATTTTCTTCCAAACTTAAAATAAGCTTTACAGAAAGAAATGACGCCAGATTTTTTTCTCTACTCTTTTTTTCTCTTTGTTTCTCCTCCTCCTCCTCCTCCTCCTCCTGAACATCATGATGATGATGACGATGATCATATTTTCTTCATTGTTTTACAAGGGAATATGCATATACACATGGTACCATTGTATATATTTGTTTGTTTTTTTCAAAGTACAAATCTCATTCCCTTCAAAAGAAGTATTACGTTCACTATTATAACTTAATCTGATATTGAAATTTTCAAGCGGCTTGCTTAAATGATTAATTTAATATTTTACGAAGTATGAAAATCGTTAAAATCATCATTTTGGTTAAAGAATAGGTGTATTAGTTAGAAGAAATATATATATGATGTAATACAATATGGAATATCACACTTTAGGTATTATTAATTGTAATGTTTTATAGTAGTTCATTGTTAATATTTTATACTAAATAAGATTATTTACCATTTGATATTATTTGAGATATTTTTACTATGATATGCTCTACTTATGAAACAAGATATAAGTAGTATTTAACAAGGATTAGAATTGAAATGTTTATCAGTAGAAAATTGAAATAAAAAGAAGAGGAAGCAAAAACAGAAAGCAATCAATGTAACAATAGAATTGGAAGAATGATAGAGTATGTATAGGACAACTCAAGGAAAATGTGCAAATTGCGTATGATTTTTAATTTAAGTATATATAGATGGTAAACGACAAATAGAACTTAAGGCTAGTTCCAGATAACAAAGTACAGTAATGCATAAATAGTTTTTAATGAATTTTTAAATTGAATTATGGTTTCTTTCCGTGAACTTTCATTATATTTGTCTAAAATATCTTACTTATTACCAACGATGTCTTATTGATGTGCTAAGGTTAAACGAACAGATAAATAGATTGAATACCAATATATAAATTAGCACAAAGTTTGTCGGTCTATATGATGTAAATTAAAATAGAAGTAACTCTAATGTATATATATTGAAGATAATTACAGAATGCATGCCAATTTGTTGGCATGATTAGATTGATACTGAAAATAATAAAGACAAAGATATAACATTAAACTTCAATAGTTGATTTCATGAGTCAATTGTAGCTAGACCACCATGGAAAACCTTGAAAGATTGGACGGTCGTTTCGTCTTATTATGGGACCCCTCAGCAGTGCACAATCACGATCCCGCCTCTCCACGCGAGATCCGAACCCTGGACCATGACCAGTGGAATCCAACCAGGTCTGTTGTGAGATATCAGCTCACTGAAGACAATGGTGTACGGTGGCGCAATTTCGTGAATTGGTTGAAGTTAGACACTAACAACGTTGGATGCCGATCGGCCCAGTTGTGTAATGCTTAAGCGCTCGTGCACGAGACTGATAGGTCCTGGGTTTGAATCTCGTAGAGGAGGCGGGATCATGGATGCGCACTGCTGATGAGTCCTGCAATAGGACGAAACGGCCTTTCAGTGCTCCCAGGTTTTACCATGGTTGTCTAGCTTCAATTGACTCATGATCTCAACTATTAAAATTACTGTAATATCCAAAAAACCCCTTCTGATAATAAGATTAAATTGTTTAGAAAGATATGGTTCGCAAAGTGTTTTGAGAGGACATTTTTTTCCCTATGAATGATTGAAATAATATGAGGCAATAGTTAAGGACCAGTTATTTTTAGTAAGGAAAAGAACAGTAAAATATTGTAAATATATCGTATATAGAAGAGTATTCTGAAACATTGATATTAGTAGAATACGAAAATGTTAGAAATAATTGATTATCTAATGATCAAACATTAATGATAAGTAAGAAATCTAGTCATTTATTCATAAAGTTATGAAACTAGAAAAGAATATAACATAATTTGATCATGTTCAGAATCTCTTCAACCCTCATAATAAATTTTGGAAATAGTAGCCATCTGAAATGATAATGTAGTGAAATATCCATTTTTTCAGATTACTTGGTAATAAAGTCAGTCAGTCAGTCAGTAACAACGTGGAACTTCGTACGTACGTACATCAGTTCGAGTTGCCATACCACATTAGCACAGAGATTCAGTTATCGATTCAAATCCCATAGTGGTAGAGGTACTGAAAGTATAAGTAGAGATAGGGGACATTAAGGTTTGATGATGTTATTAAAGGAGTATAGTCCAGTGGAATAAATTGGGAAAGAAAATAAAGGACATGAAGAATTCAGAAGATTAGAGTTTGAGAGAACACAAAGAGTGGATGCACCTGTGCCATTGCAAACGATTTTGAGCCATTTCATTCAAGGTCTCTAACCATCGGTTGCTATCGTCTCGCGGTCCCCAACCAGGTAGTCTACACCTACCAACATGACTCAGTCCACTTGTCAGTGACTTCATGGATTTGTGCCATGTTTTTGTCTGGCCGCCCCTAGCTTTCTTCCAACCTACGCTTGGTAATAAAACTTCATAATTAATACGACATTACCTACAAGTATTGGTCTATCTTATAATCTAGCCTGAAAGCATTCCATGGTATATAAAACGATATCGTTCTTCTATGTTATATGTGTTTGAAATTTTTCTTAACTAAAATAATCATAGATTTGAAACGTTTCTCTGGTGAACGTTTTCGTTCAAAAATGTCGGTTATGGTTGATTATCCTTTAAGAAATTTAGATCTGATCGGATTTGCTACTTCAAGTTGTAAGTTATTTTTTTGTTTGTTTGTTTTATGTATATTTTGTGATAACTTTTTCTTTCTTCATAATATCAACCAGTTATAATCGACGTAAAACTTGACATAAAGATGTAATTTCATTGCAATTTGAGAAGTTGGCAAATAATAATGATATATTTTTCAATGGAAAGTCGAAGAAGGACAAACAGTCAGTAACTAATAATTAATACTAATGTAGTGAACAAAAACACTAATGGGTACACCCAATTACAGCACTTGTTAATAAAATCTAACAACTATATAGTGAATCGTTAATTTGCAAAATAACAATCCATCATATCGAATTGGACTGTTCCTGTTGCAAATATCAATCGATCGTGTGACATTTCATTGTTCATGAGTTTTCATACAAATTCCATTGTGTTCCCGCTCTTCCTTTCTTGATCTTCCCCCATTTTCTTCTGCCAGACATTACGTTTAAAACTCGCGTCATATACTACTTATGTCTACATAAGTAGAACACAACACACTTTATCTTCCTTTGATTGTTCCTATTCTTTATTTAAACCTTCTATGTTAACCAATGTTGCCTATCAAAGTACAGTAAACGATCAAGCATAATATGTTACTTCCGCATGTGATTGATATATGATAATAATTGATAATACATTTTATAGGGTTTGTATAATAAATCGTTTTTTCTGAACTTACGAAACAGATTTTTAAACATTATTCAATTAGAATTACGAAAGATTCACCAACAAAACTTTGCTTAAGTTTATTCAAAGAATACCCAATTACATCATTGATTAGGTACTTGAACTGAAAACATCTATATTTTTTAGTGTAGACATTCATAAAATGCAGTCTCGTAAACTCCATGGGCCATAATAAATAAATTTTAGAGATACATTTTCCCTTTTCTAAATATAGAATGTCGCTTTACCAACGCCTTGCTCTAATTCTTAATCTCATCTTAAGAATTATGGTAATCAAGCATGTTGGGCATTTCACTCCTTTTGGGATTTTTGTCATGTCATACAGGCTGATAAGATCTTGACGTGGATACAAAACTTGCTTAGCTCCTCTAAGCTTGCACTACTCGTAGCGCGCCAGAGATATTTGTCTGCCATTGAAAGATTGAGGACACTGTGTATCAGTGTCTGTGAGGTAAAGATCTTAATAGTCCAAGTTATGCATAGTTTGAGAGTATTTAACTGAAAGTATCTTTAGAACTGGTTCGTATCTGTTTTGTTTAAAATATTTAACCATATAACGGGATTTTGTTCATCTGCATTAAACATTATAGTTGGTTATAAATAGATATTTTTCTGATTAACTACTACATAGCACCAATTTTCAACTAAACTATTTATAGCGATAATTTTTATGAAGAGAAAGTATACTTGATTAATTTATCTAAGATTGGCAATTAATTAATATTATGTTTATTGTCATTATTACTTTATACATATTTTCTATGATTATTTCATTTATCATTAACTATATATACTAGTACAATCTCACATATATAGTAGTAGTAATAGTAATAGTGAGAAGCAGTGACCAGTGGAGTTCAACCGGGTCAGTTGTGAGATAGTAACTCACTGATGACAATGGTGGATTTGTCGCCCAATTTCGTGGAATAGTTGAAGTTAGACATTATCATCGTTGGATGCCGGCCGGCCCAGTGGTCTAATGGTTAAGCGCTCGCGCGCGAGACTATTAGGTCCTGGGTTCGAGTCTCGCAGGGTGGGATCGTGGATGAGCACTGCTGAAGAGTCCCACAATAGAACGAAACGACTGTTCAGTACTTCCAGGTTTTCCGTAGTGATCTAGATTCAATTGACACATGATCTGAACTATTAAAATTACTATAATATCCACAAAACCCCTTCTGATAATAATTATTATTACTACCATTAATATCATTATGACCGGTGTATAATAGATCATAATATTAGTTTCAAGTTTATTTGTCAGTTTCTCGGTTTTGAGCATATACTGTTCTAATCAATTTATGTAGTGATATTGTTATTGAGTCCATTTCAAAGTACTCATCCACTTTTAACTAGTCCCATACTGGGACGAAACGGCGGTCCAGTGCCTACATGTTTTCAATGGTGGTCTATTATTGATCTATTCATGATATCAATCTAAACTCAACAATCTTCACAACCCTATACTGATATATTTTTATTGTAGAGTTGTATATTATTTGTTTGTACTATTAGTGATTTATAAATGTACTTCGATTAAAATGAAAGTAATTTCAATAGTTATGGTTTGAAAATTTGTTCTCATTCTGACTTGGAACGTTTTATCAAGTAACGAAGGAGGTTCATTCTGTCATTGAAGAATGAAAGTAATTCAGCGAAGAAAAATTTCTTTTCAATAATTTCATTCACATATGTTGTACAATCGTCTTTATAGTTAATTACCATTTCAAAAATAGTTGCCTATAGTAAAATAGAATAGAGTTGAATGATTATGGAAGAAAAAATTAAAGTGGTATCTTGTCATGAATTGTTTATGAAAATCAGATATTGAAAGGAAGTTATGTAATAATTGGTTAATCAAAAGTGTTACTGTGACGATAATCGTCCACTTGATGGCCATTAAGAATAGAATAATTAATGGTTTTAATAATGGCTAATTAATAGGTGTGAAAATAATGGAAAAGGAGTAGAAGTGATAATTCGGAAAAAATATGTAAATTATGGTAGATAGAAAAGAAGGTCAAGACAATGTAAGAATGAGGGACTGTATATATTTTTGTACTCAAAGGTGAGTTTTAAAGTGGTGGATAGCAATAGCCTCTGATGTATATATGTTTTTCATTTGCTGATAGCCGTCTTCAACGCTTCAACTGATGGAAATGCAACCAGAAACAAGGTTGCTAAAAACAATTCCTCCATTTCCGTCACGTGAGCAACAACAGCGCTTGCACTTGGAACGTTACTGCCCCTCCATAATGACGATTAATATGTACATCGTCTAGAACTACTGATAATTTATAACATTTTTCAAGGCATAACTAACCAATCACATCGAAGTTTCAAAACTAGTCATTTCATTTGACGAAACAGGTGATGAATAATATTGTAATTTTGGGGTGGAAAAAAATTTTTCGGGGGTGGGGGACAATTTGAAAAAAATTGCCGGTCGGATAAGATTATTCATTCTTTTTAAGCCGAATCTTCTGACTCTGTGTATGGTTTTGAATGAGGTTTCTGGTGAAGTAAGGTGGCCAGAATCAACTAGATATTCTAAGACTGAGCTTTTGATTAACTACTGTAATCCCTTAGAAATCTAGAGAGGGTAATGTTAGGAGATGTATTTCAAAGAACTCTCTTTCTGTGGTCAATATAACATGCTTCATATAAGCAAATAAAATGATAGATACATATCGCCCATAATAGCTATCAAGTGGACGATTATCGTCACAGTAACACTTTTGATTAACCAATTATTACATAACTTCCTTTCAATATCTGATTTTCATAAATAATTCATGACAAGATACCACTTTAATTTTTTCTTCCATAATCATTCAACTCTATTATATTTTACTATAGGCTACTATTTTTGAAATGGTAATTAACTATAAAGACGATTGTACAACATATGTGAATGAAATTATTGAAAAGAAAGTTTTCTTCGCTGAATTACGTTCTTTATGAAGTTTCCTGCATAAGCACTTACGGAACTAAACCTGATAATATTCAATTTCTTTTTCAGAAATCACATGATATATTTCGACAATGGAGTCGGAATACTATAAGTTATATTTTCAACTTAAATCTTGTTTCTCATATAGTTTACTTCACAATTAGGACTTATGAAGAACATCAACAACAAAATTAATTACCAATAAACTTATCATTATTTTTTGTAACAAGATGAATGGCTCTAATCCATTACGTGTATCATGTTTTTCATTGATTCTCCAATGGTTTTCAGTTAGTGTTCAAAATTAAATTAACTTAAAGTTGCATTAAATCCTCATAAAGTCACTTTGATGAATGTATATTTGTGTATATATGAAATCATTTTGGGGTCATTTTTTCTTATCGATATTTAGAGTGATTTAATATATAACATCTTATCAAGTAAGTGATCTACTGGCGGATATATGAAGTCTAACTTCAGGTTTTGTAATAGTTACCACTCATCTAGAGATCGGTTCTGTAGTCTTATAGAAATAGGTGTTGCCTGTTAGATTCAATCCTGAAACACCTGGTTTTATATTGTGTGATGTAATCTTTGTGTTCCATAGGTCGTAACTGATTTGTAAGCCTTAATTATTTACACTGAATGATAATTCGTTGTAACCAGTATTACATTTGTAGGTAATACTCGTCATAGATCGCACATATTTAAAGAACCATTAAAAACTAGGATAGCTGTTTTAACCTAGTGCTTAGCTTTTCAGTAGTGTGTCTCCAATACTCCACTGGCGATTAAACCCAAGACATTGAGGTCTTGTGGCAAACTCATAGCCATTAGGGCCGCTAGGTTGGGGTCCAGTGGTACTATTCGAAACTTAGTCAGTTTGCTATGAAGCTATAAGATTATGCAAAGCGGTTGTGGATAAATGTTTCACTCCGACATCTGTCAACTTCAGTAGTCTTGATTTCTCACTAGAACTTGTGTTACACCTTGAAATAAGTCACTAGTGAGTTGGTACTTTAAATGCGATACATCTGTTTCGAATACTATCACCAAATTATATCAACCTCCATAAAATGCTTTCAAATAATCAATGTGATATTTGTTCAGTCCTTAGTGCTAGTCAAATTTTTGTCAATTTAGTTGCAATCTGGGTGTTAGCCTAAGTAATTTGACATAGGATCGTTTGGTGCTAATTACTGGAGACAATCAATAGGGTAAATAATGTTTCCCCTAGACTTGCAGTTACATCGTGCTGGCAAATATCAGTGAGCACAAAACTTATCCTTAGGACCTAATGATGACCTCAAATCCACCTAAGAACAAGACAAAGTATGTGCATTCGATATCGAGTCTAATTATGTTATTGAGGCTTGATAATCAGTAATGATCAATTAAACATGACATCGGCTGTTGTTATTAGTCAGGAAAGTTGAGCAGATGCATATTTATTTCATGATTTACACCGTTGATGACTAAGTAATTGAAGTCAATTAGAAACATTTATTGTGCGGTATGTTTAATTTCAAATTTACTTCTGTTGTCTTTCTGTGATTATTTCGGCTGGTTTGGAGGTAATTGGTAAGGCGTATCTCTTTGTATTATGGACTAATTATTACTGTGATAAAAAACGACTGATTAATACTGCTACGTGGTCTGAAAATTTTTATTGGATTATTTGTTCTACTACTCAACCACTCAGGATAAATTATTTAATGATCAAACAACAGTCAGTGTCCGTAGGTATGACATGTGCTTTTCACGTTGTAAGTGCTGTATAAGTACTGGTGGTGGCGTGAGTGATGAGATCGATTCACGTATAGTGAAACTAGAGAGGCTTATGCCAATATGGGCCATTTTCGGCGCATAAGTGGTGTTAGTCCGGCTGTAAAAGATTGGATCTGCAACGCATCAGTGAAACCGGTTTCGCTCTATGCTCGTGAAGCCTGGCCTCTCCGAGTTGAGGATGTTAGACGACTCTCTGTGTTTGATCGTCGTTTTCTCCAAAGGATTGCTGACATCCAGTGGCAACGCCATGTTAGTAATACAGAGGTTCAGCAATGTGTGTTAGGGCACAGCGAAGATACCTCAGTTAGTGTCACCGTCTTAGAAAACCGAATTCGGTGGCTTGGATATATTACACGAATGTTGTCTCAGAATTCCACGTCGTGTATTATTTGCCGATGGTTGGACCTGTTGGAAAAAGCAGTGACCTGGAGAGTATATGACATGGTGTTGTGATATGAAGGAAAGCTGTGTAGGACTGGCTACTGTTGATCCTTCACATTTACCACCGATTTATTTGCTGTCAGAGGAAATACATCCTTTTAATATTGTAAATCTATTCGATCGTAAAATAGTGCACAGAAACAGCTTAATGTGAAATTCATTACATGAGCCATTTTATGATTCTTGTGTTTATTGATTTATTTTTCGAAATTTAGGCACCCAGAAATCAGCCCAATATAAATTATACGCAGTTTCAAATCACAGTGGAAGTGTTTATACCGGACACTACACTGCATCTTGTTTAAATCCTTATACAGGCGATTGGCACTCATTTAATGACAGTCAGTAAGTTTCGTTTAATGAATGACAATTATATTTTACAAATTCAACTCAGCAATTGACTGATGCAACATTTGAGGCTTGTGCTTTTCAACACTGGATCAAATTAAGGACCATCACTTCTTGTAACTGGCAAATGCCGGCTTTCTGAGTATTGAGTAATGATTCAAAAGTCCACAAAATAAAGCGATAATAATCAGATGTTGTTGTTACGTGTAACTGTATTACTTATGATATGCTTCATTTAACATGTTACAGCTTTTCAATAGAGCTGCAAAAAAAGAAATCAATCTCAAAACATTTACACAGTTTGTTTACAATACAGTAGCTTGATGGTCTAATGATTACTGTGAGATCATATGGTATTTTGTTTTGGGTTAAAAGTGTGCTTCATTTAGTGGTCTCAAAAAAAGAATGAAATTGTTATACTATACCATTACATCAGGGCTTTCAGTCATCCTTAAACTGTCTATCGAGAAAAATGAACTTACTTTTTATCAATTTAAACAATACTAACAATAAGAAAAAAGAATAAACCTAATTAAAATCTAAATATTTTATTACATTCGATAATTGAATTTAATTGACAGGATATTCTGAACATAAGTTTCATGCTAACTAGCACTTGTCATCTAAGTGTACTTATAATCTCTAGGTTACTAGTTGATTCAAACTCTCACTACAACTGAACTTTTATAGACTTGAATAATCTACTGATTACCCTTTTATGAAAATATAAAACTTAGATATTTTCATTGATCAATTACAAATAATAATAATAATTCAATGAAATCGATTAATACCATCTAAATTACTAAGACTATTAACAACTAATTATATGCACTGATGAGGAGTCTCACAATAGGATGAAACAATTATCCAGTGTTTTCAGTCTTTTAATGATAATCTAGCATTAATCGGTTCATGATTTCAATGAAAAAAGGAATAATAATTATCATTCTCATATTGAATTATTTTATTCAGTAAATTAATTCAATATTTAAATATTGTTCGTTTTTTTTCTCTTTTTTTTTTTTTAATATTTTATTTTCATATTTTTTAATTTTGTAATAGTGTACATGCAATCTCAGAAAATTCAGTTGTTTCTGCGGAAGGTTATGTACTTTTCTATACACTTATTCGATAAATTATCGATTTATTGATTTATTTATTAAATTGGTTTTTCTTTCATTTCTTTTTCTCTTTGTTTTTTGTTCTTCTTTATTTTTTTTAATAATTTTTATTTGTGTATTATGAAGTTTTCAAATGAGAGAATTTTATTTCATTAATAGTAATAAAATTAATTTATATATAGATATATACTTGGATGTATATTGTATAGTGCCTAATGTAATTGTTTTTAAGTGTTCAATTGATCTTATTATATATATATAGACATTTAGTGTATTATTATCTTAATGTGGTTATTTTCTGATTGTTATTGTGCATAATAATAAGGCTAAATTTAATATGAATATTTGAGTTCATTATTGTTTGGGCTTTCATGAATGGAAAACAGCTATACATATAGATATATCTATGCAATAAAAAAAGAATGAGTCAGATTAAACAATGATTAATGATATGTAATTATAAACTAATGAAATTAACTGGTACCTTAGTAGTATATATATATATATATATATATATATATATATATATATATATATATAACTTCCTCTTTATAAGTGATTAACATACCAGTATATTGTAAATTGTTGTGTATTATTATTATTATTCCTATTTAAGCATCCATGGACCATGTACAATACTGATATATATTATTGTACTTTCTTTTTATCATAATTGTGATTCACTACTACTACTACTACGACTACTACTCTACTGCTACTCTATACTAATACTAATACTAATACAACTTGGTTTCTATGCATAGAAACTAACTTCTATCCAAAATTGTATGAGAATTTTCATTAATACAACTGCTTATTTTTTCGAATTAAGGCTGTGATGTTTATTATTATTTTCATTGTAAAAAAAAGAAAAGGAAAGAAAAGAAAAATCGATATCACCTTTCTATTAGTCAATAAATTAGATTAAATCATAATTAATTACGACTAATAATTGTACTCTATAAGAATAATAATAACAATATTAAGTAACAAACAAACAGATAAAGATCATATTAACCCTTTACCTTTAAACAAAAGAGATATGCGTATTTATTTTCAAGGATTCGCGTAAAAACTGCTTCTGTATTATTATTATTATTATTATTATTATTATTATTATTATTATTATTATTAGTTTATTGATTTAATAAACCAATAATAATAATAATAGTAATACCTCAATCCTTGAGTGATTTTACTTCTCATTTTCATACTGTATGTTTTGAACATTCAATTGATTGTACCATCTATTCTGTTCAGATTACAGTATTACACAGTATTAAACAATAAAACATTACAGATTTCCAATTGTATACACTCATCTATCTCTTTCTATATATATATATATATATATATATATATATATATATATATATATATATATATATAATAAATAAATGTAATTTATTATTACTTATATATTTTTAAGTGAATAAATGATTTATTTTGTTCATAAATTCATTAATTATTATATCTTGTGCCCTGTGTCCCTAATAAGGTATAACGTGATGATACTGCCAATTCGAGAACAATGATTTATCGATAGGACCAATATAGCGTAAAACCTGTACGAGCAGTTTCGAGTCCTTATCAGTCCTACTTACCGCCTAGCCCAACCTGTTAAGTTCAGAACACCAATCTCAGCCTCTGCTATATCAATCATTTATTTCAAACATACTGGGTTTATTATACACAAACCAAACAGATTACATCGTATCAATAAAATAGGAAACAACATTTGTACAAGTTTTGGTCAAATGTGGCTGTGAATGTGGAAGATATTAATTGTTAGACAGAGTATAATTCAAGAATGGTAAATGGTATAATAATAGTTCATAGGTCAAAATAAAGCTCATAACAAGAGGGACATGAATATGAACAGTCTAGTTATATAACAATTATACGATAAAAATATACGCATAGTATTGGTCCATAAATGGATCCCAAAAGTTACTATTCATTATTCTCATCGGGATATAACATTAATTATTTGTTATTTTATCATTATAAAGATATTCTTGTTATAGATAATGTTATTATGAAGTTGTGTGATCAACAAAACTAATTGTGAATATATGTTGATTATAATACCTAAGTACTGGAAATATATTATAATTATGTGAATTCAGTCAGTCATTCAGTCAATAAAATAGTGGAACTTCGTACGTACGTACATCACTTCAAATTGCCATACCACATTAGTACAGAGATGCAGTTGTCGATTCAAATCCCATAGTGGGAGAGGTGGTAAGAATATAAGCAGTAATCGGAAACATTAAGGTTTGAAGGTGTTACCTCTGTTTGCCTACCTTAACTAATTGATAGTGCAGTGCTAGTACTAACTTGAGTCCAGGTTATTTAGATTTTTCGTCAAGAAAAATTACTTTTATGTATTAGGTATATCAGTGGTAATATTTTTTATTTCATATCTCCAAAATGACTTTTACAGTTAGCTGATTGATTATTGTCACTTTTAGCTTGTAAATTTTGTTACGTTTTGAACATCTACGCCATGTTATAAAATGTACGAAGTTTTTCCATTTTTATTTCGGATTTGTTAATTATCAAATTGTTTTTGTTTAAATCTTCTTGTCTTCTTCTTGGATTGTGGATAATTGTCAAAATGTTATGTCAGTTGCCGTACTATGAATTTCGTATTCAAAGGATTTCAATCGTTCGTAATCACAATTTACCGTAGGCCTAATCGTATATCCAACAGTTGAGATTGATAGTTTAATAATTTTCCATACTAAATTTTTACTTTCGTGTTAAAAAAATGTGAAGAATATTTGAGTGAACAATTGTTTATAATAACTTCATCAGGTTATACAGTTTTAAGTCCATAATTGTTGTGGTAATTAACTAAGGCCAATGTTATATATTAAAAATGGTCATACACTAGGACTGAACGGCGGTCTAGTGCTTTGAGGTTTTCCATAGTGGTCTAGCTTCAATTGACTCATGATTTCAACTATTGAAATGTCTAGAATCCCCGCAAAACCCCTTCTGATGAAAATGGTGAACGTTTGCATCTGTTACGAAATATATATATACTTCAAAATTGTGTTATTTGCAAATTAGAAAGGTCATTCAATAAAGGTCAGGAGGATTAGGAGTAAAGTGTTCGGTCATGATCAGTAGAATAGTCATATAGCAAAAATGAAAATGCAAGAAATCGTGTGAATAAAATTTATAGTAGGAGAATTTCATCTTGTCAATTAAGATATTAATAATAAGATTGTTGTGTGAATATAATATGTAATAAGGGAGGTGTTATCAAGGTAATTACGATAAACGAATCGGGAAGGATGGATGTAAAGATTAAGATAGAAGTAATAAAAAAAAGGGGATATGATGTTTATAATATTCACTTTAGGTATCCGGTGATTCAGTCTTAGGTCAAGGTAAACATACAGGATGGATATACCTTTTCTGGATTTGATTCAGATGGCTTCAGTTATGTAAAGTAACTGTAATCTATCTTCTTAAGGTAGATATTTTGGAACTTGATATAAAACAGAAAGCTTCCTCTATTTCGATATGATGTTCACTATCTACTAAATGAGAAAGGATAGTTCTGTTAATCGATTTAGTGACTCCTTATCCCAACCATGCTGATGCATGTACTCGAACACGTAAGAATAAATCCTTCTTTGTAAAATATCATAATTATGGACTTATAACTGTAGAGCTTGATGATGAAGTTATTGAAAACAATTGTTCGTTCAAATATTCTTCATTTTTTTGAATATTCTTTGGGGATTTTTAAGCTTCTAAAAAGAACTGAATGTGAATTAACAGAAGGAATTATCAAAACGTCACAATTTTCCGTGTAGTAGTAGTAGTACTACTACTACTAATAATAATAATAAATAACCTTTTTCAACTGAAATTCCATTGTCTTTGTATACAAGATAAATTATTGGAACGAAACTAGTTTTTTTTTCTAGTTTGTTGAAATAAACCGTAATGTGTCTATTGTTTTGTTTTAAATTTTAAAGACCATAAAACATTCTTTCGTTTATGATTAAAAACCAATGAATTTGTTTGATTGTACTGACTTACACCTGTTACTCCTCGTGGAGGAGCATAGGCCGCCCACCATCGTTCTCCATCCAACTCTCTCCTGGGCAATCGTTTCCAGTTCTTTCTAGTTGTTATTCATCTTTTGTTTGTAAGTGTTTATAATTAAAATATTCATTACTACTTACGAAATAGGTGCAAAAACTATCTGACTATTTATCTATATCATATAATTCCCTTATAGTATTTGAAATGGATTTTTCTTTGTTTTATAATATATCTACTGATGACAGTTACATTAGTGTAAATTTTACAATTTGCAATAATGTCACAGTTATTAACATTGTAGATGAATAAATTGATAGTTGTTTTGTGAGGGTTACTTGATATAAAAACAACATAAATTTTGTAACAATTGTTCAACTTAACAACAGTTTGATAGTCTTAACATTTGGTTACTAGTTATCAAAGTTTTTTTCTCAATCATCTTATTTATAAAATAATCATTAAGTGGAAAATCTAAACCTTGCACTATACTGAAAAAGGACACTTGTGTAAATTATCAATGGATGGAATAGACTCAAAATATATGTAGCGTTTAGTTTGTGTGTTTCTATTAATAGGAGTGAAAATCTGGTTGCGTAATATTATTCAAAGTGTAATTAAAGAAATTACAATTTCACTGGTTGAAATCATGAATCCATTGAAGCTAGACCACCATGGAAAACCTGGAAGCACTGGACGGCCGTTTCGTCCTAGTATGGGATAATAATAATCATCTGCTCACTAGTGACTGACTTCAAGAGATACTCCTGAAGTTCTAGTGAGAAGCCGTTACCAGTGGAGTTCAACCAGGTCTGTTGTGAGATATCAGCTCACTGA